AAGGGGAACAGACAAGTTGCTGTCCTTTTGTTCTTCAGTCTAGTTGTGGAGGACGTTGCTTCACTGGCCCAAGTTGGCACCATCATTGTGCCCTTCCCGGGCGAGGCAGATCAGTCTCCGGCTTCTGGACGGCCGCTCACGGAGGCTGCTGGCTGCTGGCTACACATGGTAGCCCATGGCAACCCACTGCAGCAGGGGCTGCAGCCTATGTTGTTGCCAGCGAATCATGGCAGCCCAGCTCCAGGTTGAGCTGTTGTTCAGCATCTTAGCAGTGTCACTGGCCCTCATATGTGGGATCCAAACCTGGGTCCTCTGGCGTCCCAAGCCAGCTCTTAACCAATGCGCCACTCGGCCGGCCCCCAGTAAACTAGTTTTAAGGGCCAAAATTTGGCACCACTCTGGAAAACTTGGGACCCTGAAGTGTTCTGTTTGGCTGAAAATTTTTTTTTATTATTGTTTTAAATATATGGATCTTCAACTCTCTAGACTTTCATAGATCCTGTTTCTTACAATTTACACATTTATGTTGCCCGCTTGTTCCCTTGCAGTCTCTAAATTATGATAATTTAACAAATGGTTCATCGGGGCAGCTGGTTGGCTCATGTGGTTAGCGCGCAGGCTCATAACACCAAGGTTGCCAGTTCGATTCCCACATGGGCCAGTGAGCTGCGCCCTCCACAACTAGATTGAAACAATGATTTGACTTGGAGCTGATGGGCTCGAAAAACACTGTTCCCCAATAAAAGTTTATAAAAAACCCAAAAAACAAAACAAAACAAAACAAATAAATGGTTCATCAACAAAGGGAATAATATGCCACTATTAAAAGTGATGACAGATGTATGTTTAATGGCATGGGAAGATGCTTCTAATATATTAAATGAGAAAAGCAAATTGCAAAAGAGTATGGTCTCATAAATCCCTACACACTCAACTTATTTTATAAATAAATAAATAAATAAATAAATAAATATATATATATATATATAAAGAATTGATACCAAAGGGTTAATATAGTTATGTAAGTCAGGCATGGGTTCTATTTTTATTTTATATGTACAGTCCAATTTTTCTACAACAAATCTGCATTACTTGTATAATAAATTATGAAAGTGGGAAATGAGCCTGTCCCCCTCCTTGTCTCCATGGGTCCAAAAGGTTTATTTTGGTTTTGCTGAACTGAAAATAAAGGCTTTGTGACTTTTACAAAAGAAAGAGCTCTAACTAGGTGAGTTGATTTTCAAAACGTTGGGGCAAATGGTCCTTCCCAGTTCCCCTGAAATGCTGCCACCAGATGGCAGCCTGTTCCCTCTGTTGAGTTGGTGGGACTGCCTCAGTTTGGGATCCTGCACCGCTCATCCAGACATTAGAGGCTTTTTCTAGGTCTCAAACATTACTAACAAGCCTAATGTGCCAAGCTGACCTTTTGCTCTTCTTTTCTCTATATTCCACAGGCCAAAGCCAAGACTCTCTGGTCCACTGAGGGTGAAAGTCATCTTGGGCGCATGTTTACCCCCAGAAGCAACATCCACTGACCAGAACACTGAGGAAGGGTCATAAAGGGGCTGAATCATATCAAGTTATCAACTCTTGTACTCAACACCACATCAGGACATAGTAATTCTTGTTTATTTTTCAACCTCAATAAGGAATTTGGAAGACCTCTCCCTCAATTTTGTTCTTTATGTATTTCGGGAATATTCATCCCCAACTTTCCTTCCTTCAGGGAGGCCTTTGTCAGTGGAGACAGTCTCTGAGGAGTGCTTGGGCTGGTGGGGAAGAAGCTCAAATATAGCGAGACCCCCAAGGGATGGTGTCACTTTCCTGCCAACTCCCTCATCGCCTCTCCTTCAAAGCGAAAGGAGTGCCAGCCCTCAGCTTCAGTCAGATCTTGGGCTCCTAAGGCCTTATACAAGTTCATGGCCCTCTTGTTCCAGTCCAGGACTGCCAGGCGGAACTGGGAGCAGCCCTTATCCAGGGCCACCTGTGGGAAAAGATATCACTCACTTTCCTGGAGTCAGAAAGGAAAAGGCTTTCTCACCCTCTATTTCAGCGGTTCTCAACCTTCCTAATGCCGCGCCCCCATAATACAGTTCCTCATGTTGTGGTGACCCCCAATCATAAAATTATTTTCGTTGCTACTCCATAACTGTAATTTTGCTACTGTAATGAATCGTAATGTAAGTATCTTTTTGTTTTCCGATGGTCTTAGGCGACCCCTGTGAAAGGGTCGTTCGACCCCCAAAGGGGTCGCGCCCCACAGGTTGAGAACCGCTGATTTAAACTGGGTGTCTCCCATACACCTTTGCCTTACCAGGGCTGGCTTGTAGCCCCATCCCCCTCCTCACCTCAGCCACTTTTTTTATTATCTTGGAACCAATCCCTTGACCTGATGTGGGGAGAAAAAGGCAAAAAGAGGGATTGTGCGAGTTGAAGGGGACCAGAATAGGTCATAGGCTGGGATTAGGTGGTTTTGGGTCTGTGGGTTGCTTTTCTACCACCCCAGTCTCTGCCCTGTACCCCGGTATTCTGGCTTCACATATATGTCTTCCAGATAAATGTTGCGTCCTGTCCATGTGCTGTAGATGAAGTAGTATAGCCCGTAGCCCACCACACAGGGCCCTGAAAAAGAGAGCAAATGGAGGGATTAGGTGGCTGGTGCCCTGGAGACAGACCTCTAAGGCTGATAGGAAAGTTCAGGGTGTTCTTACCCTGTGGCTCGCCTGGAACAGGAAGAATCTCTGCTACCAAACAGTGATAGAAAGGATTTTCTCCGAAGCCATCTGCTCTCAGGGCTGCAGAGATAGGAGTTGTGACAAAGAGAGAAAGGACCTGGGAGTGTGCCCAACCTGGAGCTACTACCTGGGGAACCCATCCCTCACTTCCTCCCCAGCCTCTGTCAGGACCCAGGTGCTGGGCTCCCACCTTCTTCACTGATCTTCACCTGATCCGAGAGTTTCTCGTATTCAGCTAGTTCCTATGACGTGGGGACGGAAGCCAGATTAAGGCAGGTCCCAGAGGACCTCAGGGCGCGCTCCTCCCTCTGCTCCCACTTCCCCCCGCCCCCTCCCGTCGCGCCGCTCTGACCCATTTGGGGACCCTGGTTTTCCCGCCCTCAGACTTCACCCGAATCAGTCTCAGGATATTTCCACAGTCTCCCTCCTTGGCCTCTCGGATCCGCACGGAAACCATCCCGATCCCCACCGTCTGGGACCGAAGTCCAAGATCCCCACTCTGTTCTGCAGGAACCGGCGAAGGGCAACTGGGAACCTTTAAAAGGCCTACAAATTCAGATTCCGGAAAGCTGGGGAAGCGAGGCGGCGGCGGGACCTGCCGGCTGGGAAGCAGAAGACCGACTGCCGTTACCGCGGGGCCGAGGGAGTGGCGGGACGAGGCAGTCCTTACTGCCTGGTAGCCCCCAAATTCTGCCCTTGCAGGCGCCCACCCGCCAGCCAATCAGCTTGCAGAGTAGGCACGTCCCCGCCCCGCTAGCCCTACCCACCTTGGAGAGGTCTCGTGACTGGGCGCCTGGGCGGGGGTCAAGGCCTAGCTGCAGTGGCTCCCTCGCTTTTGTTTTCGGGTGTCTCAGCCTGCATCAGAGAAACCCCATGGCTCAAAAGTCATCTTCCCGTCTTTCTTTAACTGACATGTGTAGTGATTATCTGCTTTGCCCTTCACACTCAGTAACCTATTCACGCACACTCAGACCCTGGGTGAGCCCTAAGAACCCCCAGCTCTGAAAGCTGTTTCTACACTGCTCTTGAGTGGCTCAAAGTGTTACTTTTCTGGGTACATTTGTATTTTAAAATACAGGGAGAAGGGAGATGGTGATGAATTTCTATTGGTAGATGGTTAGGCTTCGTAATAAATGGGTAAGAGAAGATAATGGGGGGGGGGTGGCTCTCTTGTTAGTATCCACTAAATCAATATTCTCCTATAAGGCAAGACTCAGAGGCCTGGGAAAAGACTGAGGGAGGCGCTCAGCAGGTGATACCATGCACTGTGCTTGCATTGTTTCAATCCTCATTCACAGTAACCACATAAAGTAGGTATTATTTTTCACATTTTACAGACAAGGACTCTTAACGCACAACAGTGGAGTGACTTGCCCACAGTCACCCAGCTAGATATTTGGGATTCCGTGTTTCAGCTCTAGTACTGACAGAGATGCTACTTGAGGAGCAGAGGATTGTTTCTACACCTCAGGCCTGTCCAGGCAACCTCCCTAGGTGGGCAGAAAACTTGGAGGACCCAGGTTAGGCTCTAGAGGGGGAGAGAGGAATAAGGTGTCCTTTCCCAGCTCATAGACTTTCTTGGCAGTGGGGGAGGGTAGTGGAGGAACTCTGTATCTCACCCATTTGTTCCCACAGAGGGGTGGTAGGGTCAATGCCCCTGCCCTCCTTCTGCCCCCAGGGCAACCTTTAACCTTCCACCCAGCACGCGCAAGGCAGCCTGCTCTCACATTCTTCCCAGAGCTGTTTGGGCCACAGAGAGGACCACAGCTGATTATGGAGTGCAGAGGCCCTCTGGCTGTAGCATGTTGGCTGCTGTTGCTACTGCTGCTGTTGCTGCTGCTGCTGCCACCTCACAGCCACCAAGGACAGGCCCTGAGACAGATTCCCCCCACCCAGGTGCAGGAGTGGGACAGGGTACTCAGCTCATGTATGTGTTTAAATGAGCTACACTTTGGCTCTACCCTCTACCTTTCTTTTCTCCTCTAGTCCTGTAGCAATGCCTCTCCCTGTTTGTCTCTGGCATGTCCTTATTCCAGCTTGTTTATTATCTCTCTCTGATAGAGAATCCAGGACCCTCCTGCTATGCACCTCAGCAATGGCCCAGGACAAGAGCCTGTCTTCATAATGACCTTTAACCTCACCAAGATCACAAAGTATGGGGTTGATCTAGTCTCTTGACCTAGTCCTCTGATCCTACCCTGTCTCCATCAGCTATTCTCTTTTCCCTGTCTCCCTGTCCTCCTTTCTCCCTGACTCCACCTCCCCAAACCCCATATTTTCCCTCAAAGGGTACACTCCATACACAGCCCTTCCTTCTATGTCCTTCCAGAACCTCCTCCTCCTTTGAGTTTCGAACCTGGGATCCAGAAGGAGTGATTTTTTATGGTGATACCAGCCCAGAGGATGACTGGTTTGTGCTGGGACTTCGAGATGGCAGGTCTGAGATTCAACTGCACAATCAATGGGCCCAGCTTACAGTGGGTGCTGGACCCCGGCTGGATGATGGGAGGTGGCACCAGGTAAGCCAGATCTGGTCCTGAGGGGTGGGGTGTTTTGAACTGTTCTGAGGAAAGGGAAGAGAATCAAGTTATTGGGCATCCTGTTATCATTGTCATCTCATTTAATCTGCACAAAACCCCCATGGCATTGCTATTCTTGCTCCCACTTTTTTTCAGAGGGGAATTCTGAGTGTATAAGTGACAAGTTCTGAGTGAGCCAAAGATGCTAGCTGACTCTTTAAGTGCATGTTCTTTCCGTTATACTTGGCTGCCTCTGAAGAAAGTGGTGGAGGCAGCAGGCCCCAGGGGTCTCTGATTCTGCTTGTCTCCTCCTTCCTGCAGGTAGAAGTGAAGATCCTTGGGGACTCATTGCTGCTGGGNGTCGCCGGCGACTCACAGCAGCCCAGCTCCAGGTCAAGCTGTTGTTCATCATCTTAGCTGTAGAGGGCGAGCGTCACTGGCCCTCAATGTGGGATCCGAACTGCAGCCCTGCTGCTCAGAGCTGGTGCTCCCAAGCGAGCTCTTAATCAGCTGAGCCACTTGGCCAGCTCGAGGATAGTTTAAATATCAAAATTTAGTACCATTATTATACTCAACCATTAATACAATTTAGCTTTTTTTTTTTTTTTTGCATTTTAAATCACATGTAGCAGATTTCCAGTTTCTAATCCTTTCATTTGGAGGGAAACTTCTTATTTAAACATTTCTGTATGAATTTGTTATTTATAACTTTTTATAAATTTGTAAACACTTCTTCTGAGTTGTAATTAAAGAATTGTTTCAGAAAAAAAATACAATTGTCCTAAAGGCCCATCTTCAGTAAACTAGGTTGGTTTTATTAAAGATTTTTATTGGGGAATTGAGGAAGGGGAACAGTTGTTGAGGAATTGGGAAAGGGAAACAGCCAAGTTGTTGTCCTTCAATCTTAGTTGTGGAGGACGCAGCTAGCTCAGCTCCAAGTCCAGTCGCCATCCGGCCACCAGTCAGCAACTCACCGCTGCTCAGCTTAAGGTGCTGTGTTCAATCTTGGTTGCGGGTGGGTGTAGCCCACCATCCCATGTGGGAGTCAAACCAGCAACCTGTTGTTAGGAGCACATGCTCTCACCAGCTGAGCCATCCTGCCACCTGTTGGCAGCTCAGCAGCAGATCACTGGCCCATGTGGGAATGGAACCCATGACCTTGTTGCTCAGAGCTCATGCTCTTTTTGTTGTTGTTGTTATTTATTTTTTTAAAGATTTTTATTGGGGGAAGGGGAACAGACAAGTTGCTGTCCTTTCGTTCTTCAGTCTAGTTGTGGAGGATGTTGCTTCACTGGCCCAAGTTGGCACCATTATTGCGCTCTTCCTGGGCGAAGCAGATCAGTTGCCGGCTTCTGGACGTCTGCTCACGGTGGCTGCTGGCCGCTCACGCTGGCTGCTGCCTACACACAGTAGCTCATAGCAACCCACTGCAGCAGGGACTGCAGCCTAGGCCGTTGCCAGGGACTCAAGGCAGCCCAGGTCCAGGTTGAGCTGTTGTTCAGCATCTTAGCTGTAGAGGGCAGTGTCACTGGCCCTCATATGTGGAATGCAAACTGGGGCCCCCTGACATCCCAAGCCAGCTCTTAACCAACGCGCCACTCGGCCGGCCCTCAGAGCTCATGCTCTTAACCAACTGAGCCACTCAGCTGGCCCCAGTAAACTAGTTTTTTTTAAATTTATATATATATATATATTTTTTTTTTTAAATTGGGGAATTGGGGGATGGGAACAGCGCTGTGGAATTGGGGGAAGGGGAACAGACAAGTTGCTGTCCTTTTGTTCTTCAGTCTAGTTGTGGAGGACGTTGCTTCACTGGCCCAAGTTGGCAC